TCATCATAAAAATGTGTCTGTCGTAGGTGACATAAATATTAACCTGCTTCCCGTAGCTACATAGCAGCCTCAGTATCGCCGTAATAGACTCAGCTACTTAGAAGTATTATCCCTGCATGGCCTATTGCCTGGTCACATTTTTCCTACGAGAAAGAGATCCTGCCTTGACCACGTAATGATAAAACTTGAAGTCAACCTCATTGCAGCTTTTATTGCCGTTCTTAACACGACGCTCACAGATCACAATCTTGTGTTGCTTCAGTTATCTAAAACATCGACCCAAAAAGCCCCCATTAAGTCGAAGTTAATTACAGATTTTGATGGGGCATATAATACCCTCATATCGACGAGTGTCCCACTTTCAGAAATGCCAAATAGCCCTGAAGAATTTGCCAACCACTTTATTAATATACTTAAGTACGCTATCCAACAAAACTCTAAATTAACCCACTCTTCTAACAGTAAAAGGACATTAAAACCCTGGATAACTCCCGGAGCTCTGAGGTGTATAAGGCTAAGAAATAAATTGCAACAAAAGGTAGAAAATGACCCACACAATATAATCTTAACAATAACTTACAAACGTTTTCGAAATTTCTGTTCCAACCTTATTAAAAAACTTAAACGACAGCATCATGGAGAACTTATTAAAAAAATCTGCCAATAACCCCCGTAAGTTCTGGAAAACAGTTAATGAGATCACTAGGTACAAACCACCTAAGTCAAATAATGTAGCCCTAATTAACTTAAAACCGCTACCACTAGATTCATTGAACTATGTCAACAACTACTTTGCCTGTATAGGTGCTAGCTTAGCTGAAACAATTACAACAAATTCAGGTACTAGAAGTAGTGTATTAGTAGCCCCTACCACTAATTATACACTAACCTCGTCCTTCGTCCTGCTAAACACTGACGACAAGGAAGTTGAGCGCATCTTGATGAGTCTAAACTCAGGGAGCTCACCTGGATGGGATGGTATCAGCACTGGTTTTTAAAGCATGCTAGAGCCTTTGTTGTACCGTATATACGTAACCTTGCAAACCTTTGCTTTAGTACTGGTGTCTTTCCCAGCGCCTTAAAGAGGTCTATAGTAACCCCTGTGCATAAGAGCGGGGACAGAGAGGATGTAAGCAATTATAGACCTATCTCTGTCCTCACCTCCATCTCCAAAATAATTGAAAAGTTGCTCAACAACAGATTGGTTGATTACCTAAATAAATTTAAACTACTAGCCAATTCTCAGTATGGTTTCAGAAAGGGTTTTTCAACTCAAGATGCTATTCTGGATCTCACTTCAACTATAGTTGGTGAAGTGGACAATGGCAGCAAATGTCTTACAGTCTTTTTGGACTTGAAAAAGGCTTTCGACACCGTCTCTCTGCCTATTCTTATATACAGGCTAGAATGCTTAGGTATTAGGGATACTCCACTCATGCTTTTTAAAAGTTACCTACAGGAAAGAACTCAGGAAGTAAAAATAAATGACTTATACAGTGAGAAAGCCACTACTAGTTTTGGAGTCCCACAGGGTAGTGTCCTGGGCCCGACTCTCTTTTTAATATACATAAATGATCTCGGGGAGGGGAGGGATGTCGGGTGCAGGATATACTCCTACGCGGATGACACTGCGCTTGTTTTTACTGGTAGCACCTGGAATAATGTCCAAGAAAGTACTGAGAGGGGATTAATTAACGTATATAACTGGCTTAGAGACAACCTTCTTACCTTGAACACTCAGAAAACTAACTACATCTGCTTCACTCCTTCTAATAAATCCCAACCTAACCATAACTTTGCCATTAAAATTCACACTTGCTCTAACCCTGGTAATCTGATTTGCGACTGTCCTATTGTTGAAAAAGTTAGCCAAACTAAATACCTAGGTATAATGATGGACCAACGACTTAGCTGGCACTCACATTTGGAGCTTTTAACAAACCGCACTAGGAAACTCATATGGGTATTCAAATCACTACGGCGGGTCATGTGTAACAAACTTAAAAAACCGAATCTACGTGGCCCTGGCCCAATCGGTGCTCACCTACTGTATCTCGATTTGGGGAGGAGCAGACAAAACTCACTTCTTTGCACTCGAAAGAGCTCAGAGATCACTTATCAAAGTCATCTACTCCAAACCTTATCGTTTTCCCACCGATAAACTATATAGAATGAGTGGCCTACTCACAGTCCGAAAACTCTATATTCTGAATCTCATCTTAACGTGCCACAAATCTCTACCTTATGTCGACCTAAGTCATAAAAGAAGGAAGGATGTCATCGCACCCGTCACTCCCGCACGTACTGCGTTCGCTAGAAGACAATATAGTAGGCAGTCTGCTTATATATACAACAAAGTAAACAGTATACTTAAAATATACCCCATGTTATCTTACACTTGCAGGAAAACTGTAAAAGAATGGTTGGATTCACTTAGCTATGAAGATGTTGAAAACCTTTTCATAAGAATTTGTTAAAATGTTTGGTTCAACTAAAGCTGGTTCCTGTATGCGGAGTGTTCATACCGATCCCAAGAAACCTTATCCGTAGGGCATACATGTAACCAACACATGCACACATGCACACTCCCATACAGACACGAGCTCGTATACACACATACATACACTCATTCACACACTACATGCACATATACATGTACACACACACGTACACACACACACACACACACGCACACACACACATACACACACACACACACACACACACACACACACACACACACACACACACACACACACACACACACACACACACGCACACACATGTACATTTTATATACTACCATACATGCTTACATGAAAATAGTTCATTGCCACTAGAGCCGCAATTTAAATTTAAATTTGAATTATATCAAAAATGTTATATTTCAATGTAAAAAAAAAAAATGTAAACCATACCATTCTAAACTAACCTTTTAGATATAATATACCTACCTAGTTTATCTTATTTAGCCAACCGTAAGGGAAGTAGCGAGTTATTCCCAACACAAGTGTCTCTGACTACTTAAAGGGAAGACTCGACAAATCTTTGTAATAGGATTTTTTGGAAATAAAGGAAATTTTTAATTTTTTTTTTTTTAATTAGTATACTATAAAGTCTCGATCTTACAGAGTGGTACATACTTGTAGACCGTCACAAAAGTTTTAAGAATCCCTGTGAACTTTTTGTGTATCTTACTATTTAAATTGTAAATATTCGATTGTTGATATTTATATTACTCAGATACGGTTTTATATCGTTCGTGACTGCATTTTGCTTAAGAATACAACCTTGGCTTAAACTTTTCTTTTAAAATTGAAAGTTCCAAAAGTTTCTCCTAGTACAGATGTCAATTGCTTTGACACATTGCATGCGTCACACTGGACTGAATGCCATAAGTGGACAAACGACGTATATAAAATGAGAGCATGCTCTCGATCAGCAGTTCGATTTCATCGCTGAACATTACTAACATTACTACAATCAAAAATGGCATTCAAGGTAGCTTCTAAAATCCTTCGTTACGTAATTCTTAATTCTAAAATAGTTTTTTTTCTCGTAATGTAACTTAATTATAACAAAACATAAACACTCACGCCTGTCATCCAGAGGGGTAGGCAGAGACTACAGACTCGCCCCCTTCACATCCACACCTACGCATACATGCTTATCGGTTAAGGGTACTCCTAATTTGGCCCGTTTTTAATAAATCGCCAATTTGGTCGATAAATTTTCGCCTAGGGCGTCCTTTCCCACTCTGCCATTCACTTCCGCAACATAAATTTTCTTTGTCACTCTTTCCTCGTTCATTCTTTCCACATGATCAAACCACCGAAGCATTCCTTTCTTAATCCTGGTCATAACATCATCTTGCAAACCACACTCTTCTATAAGAGAACAATTTCTCACCGTCATTCAGATTCAGACCTAACATACTCCTTAACGACCACATTTCTACTACATTTATTCTAATCTCGTGCTTCTTCTGCCACACCCAACTTTCACTATCATACGTTAAAGTACTGAATTGTATCTGAATAAATTAATCAGTAGACATTTCAGATACAAATAAGAATTATATTGAACTAATATCCAATTAACTTTTTATAACAATGTGCCAAAGATTCATTATATTTCATTCACAATCATTATTTTCCCTAAGATTATATGAATTGCAAGATATTAAATAATGTAATTTTATCAATAGCATTTAATTATTATTTCTTTCATAGTATCTACCATATGTTTAAAAAACCATTTGTTACAGATAATCATTTTCAGCTGCTTGTTTGTGGCTGCTAGTGCCGGACTTACCTCTACAGCGCCTTTTGCATACTCAGCGCCTTTATCCTATTTTACTCACGCCGTCCACGCTGCGCCTTTAACTTATGCGGCACCAATTGCCAAAGTTGCAGCTAAAGAATACGACGCCCACCCTCAATAAAGCTTTGCCTACGATGTACAAGATGGACATACTGGGAATTCTAAGTCACAGCACGAGACTCGTGATGGAGATATTGTACAAGGCTCATATTCGCTTGTTGACTCCGACGGCACCAGACGTACCGTTGAATACATAGCTGATCCACACAATGGCTTCAACGCGGTTGTCCGTAAGGAGGCTCTTGGATTGAAAGTGGCTGCAGTCGCTCTTGCTAAGATTGCTGCTCCTGTCACCTACGCTGCTGCCCCCGAGGTACACGCCGGTCCTGTCGGCCACGCCACACCATTCACGTACTCTGCTCCCATTTACCACCATTGATTTATTATGTGACTTGAACACCATGATGTAAATATACAAAATATTTTTTTTTACAAATTTTGTTGTGTTTCTAGAATTTAAAACCCACCGAAATGAAAAGAATTTTATTTTAAATAAATCTAATAAGATGTGCATTGTGTACAGATTAAATAAAAATAACGAGTAAAATTTAACTGCACAAAATTAACATAAAATTTTATATTTAAATTAATTAAAAAGTTTTTTTTGTAAACACAAATTACACATCAAATATTTGAAACCCAGGAGTATTCGATTTTGGTGTTGGGGCTAAAGTTTTCTCTGGTCCAGGTATTACAGATAGACCTCGCTGACGTCGACGTCGTCGCTCTGATTTTAAATCCACACCTTCCTGCTTTTGTGGTAACACAGAGAATCTTCGTCCTTTTGGCACTGTAGACATACGCTTAAATAATACTTGAGTTTCTACGCGTTGAGACTCATCCATTATTCTTACAATTTGTCTCTCTCTTTGCTCAATAGCTTTACGTTCATCTGTTGTAACAGCATCTGAGGCCATCTCGGCACATTTACTGAGGAAGGGCTGTACTTGTTCTGGGTCTTGTAGCTTTTTAGAATATTCGTAAGCTTCCTCAACTTGAATTCGTACTTCATTAGCATTACCTTGTTGCATGTCACCACTCAGTAAGACAAATAGTCCATTTAGCCACCATGTCGCATTACCTATTTCCTGCGCCTCTCGCTGACATCGTTTAGCATAGAACTTAGCAGTGCGTAATTTTTTTGTGTTGAAAGCAATCGAGCTAGTTCGTACATCAACCAACATTTCATAGTAGAGTTTTCGCACATTTCTAAAGCCGTCATCACTTTAGCTGTGGCTTGTTTAATATCAATAAACTTGTGAGGATAATTTCCTAAAACAGAGTCGAAGGAAGTTGGACGACCAACTGGAAGACCCATTAAGAAAGCAATACGTCTTCTATTTCCGCGTTCACTTAGTCTGTACGAAAGGCGATGCTGTGATAGATAACCTTCTCCAACTGCTCTGTATAAGCGGTCTATATAGATCTCTTTATCTGGCAACGTACGCGGAGTCTTTGAGTCAAGGAAAGTTTGTAGACGTTCAGCATACGTCATTAAGTCCATAATACGTTTCTCTCGTAGACTCTTTTCGATTTGTTTTAAAAGGATCTCAGCACTTCGTGCACTTATCTCACGTTCTCTGATAAGTATTGCTTCTTTGTATTTGTTTTGATGTTTTGATTCAGCCTTTTCCGCTAATTTAATGGTATAATATGGTCTTTGTGTTCTCAGCATTTCCTGCCGTTCACTTAAAGAGCGAAGCGCTTCTTTTACAATGTTTTTTAATAGGATACTACCTTTGGAATTAGCTGATTGTAGTCGTGGGTCTTCTGTTAGTCGCTGAAGAAAAAATTTGTCATATGCCATTGGCCCCAGATATTTCATAGCAAGAACACGAGCTAACGTAGCATGTTTTCGAGCTTCCATTTGAGTTAACTTGCGCTTACGCTCCGGATGTGGGATACGGGAAACATGTAATTGCTTTTGAGGTTCATGTTCATCAATGACAGCAACTTCCGATTGTTTTATTAAAGGTAAAAAATCAACCATCACATTTCCAGCATTAACTCCAATGCAGTCTTGTATAGTTTCTATGCCTTGATTTATACCTTCTGTAAAGTAAGGAGGCTGACGTCGAACTCGAGCCCCCCGGTAGTTCATTACCACAGATCTCTCAAAATCAGACATAGTATACATAGCACGAGCTTGCATATTACGAGCTATCATATTAGAAGGTTCTAACTTAAGTGCAAGTTCGGCATCTGAGTAGGCTTGAACTGGTTGTACAGCATCTGAGCATACCTGGCTACGGCCTGTTAGTGTTCGCACATCCTCAGAAGCACTTTTGAAAGCCTCATCATAAGAAGCCTTCGCTTTTTCAAATTGTTCTAGTCGACGCAAATGTGCACCTCTTTCTCGGTAGACGGTTAATGCACCGAATAATGGTTTTTCTTCCATTTCAGAATCTTGTACCAAAATGTAAATAAAAATATAAGCGCTCTTGTGTAAATTAGTTATTTTTTCGTGTCATTTTGACGTTTACCATTGATACTCATGGACATAGATTATTATAAATATCTTAGAGTAATTACCAGGCCCGGTCAACTCTGTATGGACAGAATGAAATACCTACGGGGGCTGAATTTTATTATTGCCATTTGTCAGATAAATGTCTTGTTTCATAATTAGTAAGATTTTGCTAAAGATAAATTACACCCAAAAATTTTGAATACAGAAATAATAATCAATAGGAAGATAACTATGCCTGTCGTATTTTTCTACATTATTATATTAGCATATCCTTGACAGTAAAAGAAAAATAAATGTTTTCTTTTTGTTTTGATTTTCAATGAGTAGAAAATTATATTTTTTACTGGTAACACCAAATACCTAAATGAGTATATATTTCTCTTTTCTCATAATATGGCGTCGCCGTATAAATTATTGTTGTTCATGATTGGTTGTTATGTTTGTTTTGCTTGTGTCTTTTACTAAGATTTTGCAAGTTTACGATGTTGAGTTGAGATTAATGTCCTTCATTTATATGATGTGCAATGTGTTAGTCAATGAATCGTAGTGAAATACGAAATAGTGACTCTTAAAAACTACGCTGCAATGGCGGATAAAGAAAATAGAAAAAGTGTTCTAAGTGCAACAGCATACCAACCATTGACAACGTTAAATTATTTAGGTTTCCGAAATTCGCAGTAAAGTATATTTTGCGGTACGTATACGATATACATATACACTATTTAATAAGTTCTAACCTTAAAGTAAATCTCTTGTCCAACTTATTGTTTCTCTTTTACCATTTAAAAACAAATTATTGGTTTGTAAACCATTAATTTGTTTTTAACCTACTTTGATAATATTTGTATTTAATAATTATATCTTTTGTTTTCAGTTGTAAATTATGGGCGAAATATTATATTCCTTCCCAAGAGCAGTATACTACTTTAGCTTTCCAAAGCTACATAATAAGCCCAGAATGCTGTGTGAAAAACATTTTCATGATGGTTAATTTAATGATGCAACCAAGAAAAAGCTCTTAAGCACTGCAGTCCCATGTGATGTAAGTAAAGTGTATAATGTATATGGTAATATGGTATGTATATAGTTTTCTTTAAGGATTACTCAGATATTTTATATGGGGATTACTATATTCAGGAGTGGACTTTGATAGACTGTAAAGAAGATGATGATTATTCATATGACCATCATCTGGATCTAACATAGATGGACAGACCACATACAGTAGTTTGAATCCTGTTAATTCTTTCAACTAATTTATAATAATTGGATCGGACAAAGCATCCAAAGGATTGAAGTCTATAAAGTTAGCACAAGCCTTTCCTTACATTATTAAAAGTGCAACACACTGCATATTATTTTTAACAATCAAATTTTATTTTAAATCAACAACAAACCTTAAGAAAGTTCCGGCATCACAATATATGAATAATTACATTTCGTCCTAAACCTATCAAATTTAAAGGCACAACTTGTACAACACAGTAGAAATACATGCATCAAATGGTTCTCAAACATTAGATAAACACAAGATTTCTTTTCACATAGTTATTGTATTTACTATCTTATTTTGTTATATTAATTGTAATAGTGGGCGTATTATAGAGCAAGTTGGATGAACAAGATCCATTCATTTATTTTGTATTGGTAGAAGGGTAATGTAGTGCCATGAGTAGGGACTGATTTACTATGAAAGTAATGTCAATGAATATAATGTTAATTTTATTTTATATAATAATTTTATGATACTATAATTTATGATTAAAACTAGTTTTACGGATTTTATCGCGTTTATTTTTACTTTTTATTTACTTTTATTTTTAATAATATTAAAAATAAAAGTTAAAAAAAAGTAAGTCGATAAAATCCGTAAAAGTAGTTTTAATCATGTATAGTGTTCGCGTAAATATAAGAAATCATTACTATAATTTATTTCAGTTTTTATTTATTTCCAGACTAACAAAGTGTATTCCCATTTTATTTTGTGGAATCACAAGCTGGTCCCTCGCAAATTATTGCTGCAAAACCACAAGCAGGATCTTCAAAAAGGACAACATTATATCCACTGAAGAACAAACATCAAAGCATAACACATAATGTTGAACCTGAAAAAGAAAGTATGTATATCTATATGAAATTTTTTAAAATGAAATAAGGAATATTTTTGTAATCTAATATTTAATATGTTTTATAATTTTGAATTAAAATTATTCTATTTATAAGCTGCATTCAATACTTAATATATTGCATATAATATAGAGACAAAATTTTTAGTGTCAATTCAGGGAAATAGATAGACAACCAAATATTATCAAAACACAATTATTATTTGTGAATGTTGCACTTTGCACTTGTGTGTAGGAGCTTATTTATTAATTAACTTGTTTTAGATTAAAATATTGATATTTTGGTTATTGTAGACAATCATTGTGCATATTATCAATTCATCCATGATTGTAAATCTTATTTCAATTCTTTATCATTGTTTACTTAAGTAATTGAAATGTTGTAACCATTATTGATTTTCTTTTCATGTTTAAACCCATCAAATGTCTTTATAGAAAGAACTAAGCTGCTGGAGAAATTGTTTCTTAAGTTATGTATGTTTTTTATTTCAATTTGTATTTTTATTTTGAATAAATAAATAGAAATTTTGTAATTTTTGGTCTTTTATTTAGCGCTGGGATAGGAAACCCAAAAATACCTCAAATAAAAAAAAACAAAAAAGACCACATTCAAATTTTCCCGCCACACGAGAAGTGCAGGAGGCTGACGATAGATGGCGCTAGTGGTTATATATCTCATTTCTTAAATTTTGTATGAAGTTGTCGTTCTTCTCCGATAGGAGTAATAGTGTTCTGTGGTAATTACATACATAATAAATATATATATCACAGACCATTATACAAGGAAATAGTCATACTCACAGAACACAATTACTCTCTACCGAGAGGTCATACTCAATGCGTAAATAAATCACTACGTTTTACACACGGGTTCGATAAATATAATTTTACAGACATGCACACATGGATAAAACTCCTGTATCAAATTATATGAGAAGACAGCTAAGGAAATCGTTTATCGTTGAATCCCTATTGAAAAACCGTAGGACGCTTGGAAGTTCTTCGTGTCGCGTCGTCCCTGCGTTCTAAGTATATTATTAAAGTAGATGCAATTTTAACTTGTGTGGCAATTATTCTGTCTATGTTTAATTTGTTAAGCTAAGTAACAGTACAGTTTCGTCGTAATTGTTTATATTTAAGGTTCGGATTACCTTAAAAAATATTTGTACTTCTTTCAATAGCGTATCGTTTACATAGGTTATAATCGTAATAGCCAAAAGCTGTTCAAGTTAATCAAATAATTTACCTTTACCTTCTCGACTTTAAATTTATTAGCTCATTCAATTAAATATTTTGAGGGTAATTGTATACTTGTAGAACAGTAAATTAAACTAGATTACTCATACTTCTTCGACGTTTAATTTCTTTATAACATATGGTACAGAAGTTTTTTTCCTATGATCTCATCAATATGCATCTCAGGCAAAAGACCGTCTCGTCTATCGCCTAAAAACGGCTATGTTAATAAGATTATCCAGAGTTTTTAGCAGCATCTAATAACAATAAAGTCATCTGTTGTATATGCACATCAAAAAGGTGCCGTAAGATGTAATTCAGCTAAAATAATATATATAATGATTTCTTATATTTACGCGAACACTGTACATTGATTAAAACTACTTTTACGGATTTTATCGCGTTTTATTTATTTTATTTTTAATACCCGACGTTTCGGGTGCTTTCCAGCTCCCATTGTCATTGGAGGAATGAGGTGACTGACGTCCCGATGTCAAAGTCAACTCGGAGTACCTTCAGCTTTTTAAATATTGTCTTTGGTCCGCGATCTACGCAGAATGAACTGTGTTTTCTCGGAACGTAGAAGTCTGCAGTTTGCGATCATATCCTAGATGGCCCCAACCATTACATCAGATTTGACAGACCACAAACCCTCGCGAAAGAACATCGATTCCTACCAAGGATGATACGTGAGGCTATTGAAATTAAAAACATCCTAATTTCAATAGAGAAGGAGGCTGGGTACTACCACCTGCTTGGGATTCTATAATTAATAAAATTAAAACTAAATCCAAGCATACCACTACAAGACTTCAAAACACAGTTCATTCTGCGTAGATCGGATCAAAGACAATAATTAAAAAGCTGAAGGTACTCCGTGTTAACTTTGACATTGGGACGTCAGTCACCTCAGTCCCACGTGGCCATGGGCGCTGGAAAGCACCCCAAACGTCGGGTATTAAAAATAAAATAAATAAAACGCGATAAAATTCGTAAAAGTAGTTTTAATCAATAATTTATTTATCTATTTTTAAAAATATATTTTCATAATTATTTTATAATTATTATTTTTATAATTATTTTAATAAATAATATTCTTTTGTAGGGAACATGCTATGCTCTGCCTGCAATCGTGGAACTTCAGCTTATGACTAGTTGTTAAAAACTCTGAAATATTAAACATATCGAGGAAATCTTTATGTCTAATATTTCAGAGATTTTTAAGTTAAAACTTCTTTAGCCGCATTGAGCGATTTTGGTAGGGGAAAAACTTAAGGGTTCGTGTCACCGATGACCTCGAAATGTTCGTGACGATTGCGCGCAAGCGTAATGCGTCACGAGTATGTCTGCTACGCATCGCTAGTCTGGCGCAAGCCAGATCTATTTTCTGTGATGTTATACGGCTCTTACAGCTATACCTGAGACAGGACTCGCGGCCTAAAAAGCCGCGGGCTGACAACAAGTCAGACTTGCGACGCGTAGAACGAGTATAGCGGCCTGTGTACATATATACGCATATATCATTGAGTTTTCACTTCGGATCGGCAATCCTTTTGACTGCCTTTG